ATTACCTGAGACAGTAGCTGGAGCTGATGCCGCATGTTCTCCATCACTTCTTTCTCAACACCACTACCTTCACCTTGACGCATAACATCCATTTGCGCCTCAATGCTTCTTCTTAATTCCTCATGTAACCTTGTTAAAAAAAAAACAAAACAAAACAAAACAAAAATGGTACAACAACTAAGACATTAACATACCACAATGTTTGTCAGGAGCAAAAGAAGAAAAAAACATCAAAGCTAAGACCACACCTTGTGTTTTCTTGAACAACATGATCTGTCTTTTGCTTCAATGAAGACAACTCTTCCTAAAATTAAAAAAAAAAACACATCAACATTAACAGTAGAAATATGCCTAGGAGATCTACAACAAAGTGCTTGTAAATCCTGTAAAATATGCATTGGTAATCAACTTGAAACTGACTCAGAGTAAAGTAAAACTATGTTACACAATTTGGAGAGTTGACATGACAATTTCAAATGTTATCTCTTTGCCAGAGCAGAGCAAATGCTAAAAAAAGGTTAGCTCTCTAAATCACTCAAATTGTCAGCTTTCCAGATTCTTCATGATAGAGTATCTTTCTTTATCAACCCTTAATCAACTTCTAGCTTTTGAAACTCACTTGTCCCACCAAAACAGCATGACTACTTCAGAAACAAACAAATTAATAAATTCTATGGTTTCCTTCTTTGTCATGTTAAAAGACAAAAATGAGTCTTATGACTACAAATCATTCAAATCTTTCACAACCAGGGTTTGGTGCTGCAAAAATGATTTTAATCTGCTTCTGATTTACCTTGAGGAACAGGGCCTGCTCCTGAGAACTTTTGATGTTGTTATCATACTCGACTAGAAGAGGGGATAAAATGCTGCAACAAACAGAAAAATATTGAAATAAGCCTTGACATGTTTAGGGAGGAATTAGAAATTTTATTAAAATTTACTTTTAAAGAAAGTCTTTGTGTTTCTAAATTTACCACCTTAAACATCAAGCAGTTACCTGTGGGTGAGAAGGGAGGTAGAGGAACATTATCAGTGGGTAGGATGGAGGGGGGGGGATACTATTTTTGGGAGGGAGGGGAGAAACACTTCAGCAAAAAGACTGGCTGTAAATGACTGGAGAGTAGATATTACAAGCATAATGCAGAATTACATCCATTTGATTTCTCATACTACCATTATATAATAACATCTATGAGGAAAAGAAAACAGATTAGGTGTACTGAATGTAAGAGCTGAAAAACATTGAGAAATAAAGATACAATAATGATTAAAGTAATTTATTGCTTGTCTTCTGACTTAGTAGCTTTCAATTTTAATAATGTTTCAATTGCATGGAGACAAGTCTCCATTAAGTTAGGAAGTCAAATATTTAGTTATGCCTCAGTTATGAAGCATTATCTTCCAGGACAGATGTAGGAATAAGCTGATTTCAGTAACCTTTCATGTTTAACACCAGAATATTTTCTAACCTGGAATTTGTGATCCATGGAGGAAGAGGCTCTTTCCCCTTGAGAAAAAAAGAGGAAAATTTAAAAATTGAAATAAATGATCATAATTATAAAATCATAATCAAATATCTTGCACAAAAGTGTTGAAAAATAAATTAAATAATTTTTAGCATATGTTGTATCACACTCAAACATCTGACCCATGAAGAGTGAGGCTGGGACAAAGGAAATTGGTTTGAATTATGAGAGGATTCCAAAAATATGGGTATTAATTTCAGCATATCATACTGTTTGCCTAAGAAGTAAAAATCAGCATTGAATCAAATTATTGGAAGTTTCAAGAACCCAACTTGAAGGATTCAAGAAATTGGGACTCTATTGTTTATGAATTTTTGTTAACTTTACCTTGACTTCTGGTTCTTTAACAGGAAGATATTTATTTTGATATTCCTCAAGAACAGCATTTAGTCTCCTCACTGAAAGATAACAATGAACATCAAATCAGCACTGTTTGATTTAAGGCATCACCATAGGGTCTGATTGTCTAGTGATGGAGTTGTTGACCTACTTTACCTTTCAGAGTGATTTCCTGGTAGAAGGCACTTATTTATTATCATTCTTAGAGTTGCAATTAGCATATGTCACGTTCTCAGTTAATGGAAATGAGTGAAAATCAGGTGCTAAAAAATGACAGCAGGGCTCAGGCAAAGCAGCCATTTCCCAGACAAGAGAGACTGCTGTTTGATGCTTGCCCACTATTTTGCTTGTCTCCACTGACTAAGGGCCTGGAACAAGCTGAGCTGTGACTAGTCCAAACCACTTGATCCATGGATTTAGCAAAGGATTGGTTCCTTGAGGAGTATGTGGCTGAGTGGTGAGTTTACAAGCCTCTCATTTTTAAAGGTTCAAATTTCAAAGGATGAGGACAAGTCACTCAAGAAATTAACCAAGTACCAGCAAATTGACATGGCAAATTGATGAAATACCAATAGGTAACCCTACCATGAAATGATAATCCCTAAATGCCAAGGGGGGGGGG